ACACAATCGATATAAACAAAATGTCAGCAACAAAAATAAACCAAAACAACTAATAAACAAGATATCAACAACAAAAAATTACGACTGTGGTTAGTTAAGAGATTTCAGATCGCTTAAGAGATCTTGACTCTGCCTCGTGCAAGATCACTTCAGCGATTTCAAATCGCTTAAGCGACCAAGTGTAAACTGAAAGAATCTCTTAAGCGATACAAACGATCACTTAAGCGATCTTATATCTATGATTTTGCCTCGAAAAGATCGCTTAAGCGATCTTAGATCTAGGCAGATGGAGTAAAAGAGGTTAATTGCTTAAGCGATACAAATGATCGCTTAAGCGACAGTTCAGAACGTACCCTTGCTTCGGTGGCCTGCTCATTCTCGCCGGCCTCTTCCTCGTCGCCTGAATCCTCGGAAGACTCTTCCTGCCCTGAATTCTAGCCGGAATCCTCCTCTTGGCTTGAATTATCGCCTGACTCTTTGTCTTCAGAACCGTTTGACGATTCTTCCCTCTGTTCTTGTGCTGCCGGCGTCTCCTCTCCCTGTCGACCATGTTCACTGATCGGATGATCCATCGGAGCAGCCATTGAACTGCTTGCACCACCGGAATCTAGGATTCGAAGTGGCGTTGGGTTGTCCTCGTCATTGTGAGTGTCAACCATGGTTTTGGATTGAATTTGTTGTGAAAATTTGTAGTTTGGATCGAAAATGTGAGCTATATCGCTGGAAATCGCGCAGATTCCGTTTAGGGTTCAAGAAATCGATTTTAGGGTCAAGAAATCGATTTTAGGGTCAAGAAATCGATTTTACGGGTCAAGAAATCGATAGAAAATCGTGACTTATCGTCGAAAATCGCGACTATATTCCGTTTAGGGTTCAAGAAATTGAGTTTACGATTGAATATGGTGTGAAAATTTGCAGGTTGGATCGGAAATCGCCTGTCTCCCTTTGGTTCAAGAAATCGATTTTTGCCCTAATGAATTTCGATTAAGCGAGGTGAATAGTTAGTGGGGCTTGTTTTGAGAAATTTCAAATGTTAAAAACTTTTATTATGTCTATTCGGCCCAAATATGTTTTAATCCTTTCATTTTAACCCATTTTACGTGTTTAGTTAGTGGGCTTGGTCGTTTAAGTGCCCAGATCTATGATCACTTAAGCGATCCTCTTGTATCGCTTAAGCGATTCCTCGCTTTTACTCTTGGTCGCTTAAGCGATTTAAGATCGCTTAAGCGATCTCTTCTGAGGCAGAATAAAATATGCCCAGATCTATGATCGCTTAAGCGATCCTCTGGTACATTTCCTCTAAGAGCGCGACGACTGCTATCCAGTGCATTTCCTTGACCAGGATGATACAGTAGACACTTTTAACCTTTGCCCAACTGTGGCCATATTTGGGCCTGTCCCCCATTACATACTGCATCATCCTGTCATCAAACTTAAAATCATTAGGGATGCAGTCCCAGTCTTCTATGCCCGATCGTTTTCGCTTGGCTCCTTTTGCTACAGATGTACCAATGACCTTTTTCAATAAATTGCGATATGTTGATACCAGTGTTTGGCCAAAGGCCACATCGGTGATGGCACAATCGGGATACAGTAGATCACCATTGCTGGTTTGTCGCAACCTCATCAGTGCCAATACCTCATCGATGTGCTGCATCAAATAAAAATAATATGATAAGTATACAATACCTCATGGAAAACATAAGCAAAAATAAGGAAAATTAAGCAAAAATAACTCACCGAGTCGTGAAGCCAGCTGCCCATCGTCAAAATCTTTTCAAAACAATCCCGAGAATAATCCCCGGTCTTACACTTATAAGGGCATCACTTTCGGATTTATCGTAGTAGGCATAGAAGGGTTTTTTCTTTTCCTCCTCTATTGGCCTATACAAATCGACAGTGGACTCCATTTTTTCTTGCCCGCTTCCTTCGCCTCCCGCCTCAACCTCCTCCATTATAACTGCCCCACTTCCTCTAGAAACCTCTTTAACCCCCTCAATTTTGGCTTCTTCCTCAATTTGTTTCTTTGTTTTCCTCTTAATTCCATGTGTTAGTACGGTGTAAGGCGATTTCACAAACCTACTCTTTCAGCTCTCTCTTTTCAGCCCAGGTTGCAATTTAACCGCCTTCAATACTCAACCAACTTCCTCCTGCACCCTACCAACTTCCTCCTCCACCCTAACAACTTTCTCTGCCACCTTATCCACTTTCTCCTCCACCCTTTTCAATTGCTCTTCCATCTTATCAAACAAACTCTTTATGAGGTCAACCACATCACTCTCCCGACCTCAACGCCTCGGCAAAGCGGTACTTGTTGTACCGGTTTGCTGAGGCATACGAACCTCTTCCTCCCTCCCCTCCTCCTCCCTCCCACCGATTGCGGCTTCATCCTCCTCGGCGTCAACCACATTCTCAAGCAGTGGCCCTGCAACTGCCCTCACATGTGTGACCCCTTGTAGGTCTCGCGTCAGGCGGTCTATCCCTTCATCCCTTTGATCCTCCAGTGCTTGGAAAGATGTGACATAGTGTTGTTGCGCTTCACCCCCAGTAGCGGTGAGGAAGGGACGGACAACCCCCTGCAATAAGAAACAAAATCAATCAGATTTAATCAACATTTTAAAGCAAGTGCATGTTCAAGCTTAATCCTTTAATCTTACCTGAGCTGATTGAATTTCAATCTCTATTTGCTCATAATCCGAATGGGTACACTTCTGGTCGTGCCACCGCAACATCCTAGGAAATGTCTGTTGCACAACCGAAGCCCTAATCCTTCCCCCTGCTTTAGCCAGGACAGGGATAGCCTCATACATCCAAGCCTACATTGTAAAAAAACAGTCCATATCATAATTCAAGCACATATATTAAAAAAAATATAACAAAAAGCTATTAATATTTACCTGCATTGCCCATGGGAAGCCAAACTAATTGTACGTCGTCGGTCTATTCTTCTCGGCCCATTGGGAGGGCTTTAACGCCAGGTCTTTTGCTTGCAAGGACTCCATGGTTCGCTTAAATGCTACCCGTCCCCACGGATAAGCATTAAAGAAGTTCAAGTTGCTTACAAACTTCACCCAATCAATATCAATGGTTTTTGTTGAGTCACTAGCCATTAGGATCGAATGTAAGAACAATACCAAGCACAGTTTGAACGTCTATGAATCATTAAACTCACCATCTTTTAACCTGTCCTCTAATTCCTGTGCCTTAATAGACTTGTTCCCCGCCAAAACCTTGTTAGCCAACCTTTTGGCTCCCGTACTGTTCGTTATTCTTTTTTCCTCAACCTTACCTGGCAAATCCCCACATCTTAAGCCAGTCACCAACGCATATTCCATCATCCCGAAACGTACTGGCTTTCCATCCACCATGAACCACATTTCGTGCTTTTTGTTGCTTTTTATTGAGTGCAGCAACATATAATGCACTCCCGACCCCCATAATGTCTTTTTCCATTTTGTGTCCATATCTCAAAAATTACTGAAACAAGTCTCTTTGAATCTCCTTTCACCATTCCTCACTGTCCCTAAAATCCCCATTATTCTCGTTAAAACATCCCAACTTGACCTCACTGTCACCCTCATAGGGAAGTATGGTACCGTATCGCTTATAACCTCCAATCTGTACTCTCTATAGTTTACGCTCCGGAAAATTTGCACAATCGATATAAACAAAATATCAGCAAAAAAATTAAATCAAATCAAATATAAACAAAATACGCTCCGGAAGAATCGCTTAAGCGATGGGCAGATGATTCTGCCTCATACAAGATCTCTTAAGCGATTTGATAAGAGATTATAGATTTGGGCAGATTTGGTTCTGCCTCGGAAGAGATCGCTTAAGCGACCAAGAGTAAAAGCGATTCGTCACTTTTACTCTTGGTCGCTTAAGCGATTACAGATCGCTTAAGAGATCTTGTACGAGGCAGAATCAACATCTGCCAGATCTAAGATCGCTTAAGCGATTCATCGCTTTTACTCTTAAGCAATTCGAAATAGCTTAAGCGACCAAGAGTAAAAGCCATCAATCGTTTAAGCGATACAAAGGATCGCTTAAGCGATCTTAGGTCTCGGCAAGTACAAATACCTTTTCTTCGGCGGCCTCCTCCTCTTTGGCAGCCTCCTCCTCCGCAGCCCCCTCCTCCTCCTCTGAACTCTCGCTGGACTCCTCTTCCTGGCCTGAATTCTGCCCGGCCTCCTCTTCCTCTTCAGAACTGTTTTGCTCCTGTTCTCTCTCTTGTTGTGCCGCCGTCGTCTCCGCTACTGGAACACCTTCACTGATCGGAGGATCCACCGGAGCAGTCATTGAACTGCTTGTGCGGCCGAAATCTACGATTTGAAGAGGCGTTGGGTTTTCCTCCTCATTGTTAATGTCAGCCGTAGTTTTAAGAAAGGAAGAAGCTTTATGATTGAATTTGGGTGTGAAAATTTGCCGGAATGTGGACTGTTATCGCTGAAAATTGCACAGATACGTTTAGCGATTGAAGATATCGATTTTTGCCTTAATTGGTTTCGATTAAGCGATTTGAATATTTGGGGCTCTTTTTCAAATTTCAAATTTTAAAAACTTTCATTAATTATATTTTGTTCTTATATGTTTTAATCTTTTCATTTTAACCCATTTTACATGTTTAATAAATCTAACTGTGACACATCAGTTTCTCAAAACAAAAAAAATGGTAAACAGTTTCAAGGCCATTTTTTTAAATCCAAACTTGGGATGGCCGATCAGCTAAATTTTCTCCTTATGTTCAATTACACAAATTTCGATCAATTTATTGTATAATACAGACTCAATTTACACAATTATTGATCAATTTACTGTATAATACAGATGCAATTGTTTTTTTCCTCGATTTTCAATTTTGTATCTACTCGAAGTTGTAAGGGCATAATCTATCCATACGAAGATATCCTTCTAGACTTTTAATTTACGGTTTTTTTTTTTTTTTTTGAAACCCTATTTATCTTGTATACAACGATTTTCAGGTGATTGTCAAGTTACAGTAATTTTGAATTATGGGAGGTCATGGTGGTTTGAATATTCTTCCACAGAAGCGGTGGAATGTGTACAATTATGAAAACAGAGAAAAAGTCCGTCAAGACGAAGAGGCTGCTGCGAAAGAAGAGCAACTCAAGCGTGAACAGGCCAGAAAACGAGATGCTGAATTTCGTTTACAGCAGCTTTGTGCTGCCCGTGGTTTGTCTCCGTTGAAACGAGTTGAAGAGGCAGCTGGAGAGGCTGCTGCAGAGCATGTTAAATCTGAACCAAAGTCGAATCATATTAATCTCTTTGAAGGGATTAAGATTTTTGACCCAATTAAAGGGTTGGAGAAAGGGGGTGGTGAAGAGAAAGATGGGTTTAAGAGGAAGAAGATGAGGAAAGAGGAGGAGGCGTCGAAAAAAGTTGTGACACTAGATGATGAGAAGTATAGGCTGGGTTATTGGGTAGCCGGGAAACGGGTTAAGTTGCCGTGGTATCTTGAGCGGAGGAGCAATGGTGATGTAGATGCTGAGAATTGTATGGATGATGGGTTGGTGAGAGTGCAAAAGGAGGAGCAAAAGAAGGGAGGGAAGAAGACGCTACAAGAATTGAGAGAAGAACGGTTGAAAAGGGAAAAGAAGGAGAAAGAGACGGAACGAGCATTGTTTATGGAGAAGAGTCACAGAGAGAGGACTTTTTCAAGGGATAGAGGTTTTTACAGGAGGTGAGCTTCATGAAATTTCATATTGTATATAACTAACGCTAGAAATGTGTTTGGCCTCTTTCTGGTTTTATGTGGCCAACTCTTGGCGCGAGAATTTATTTTTGGTTTGAGGATGTTCCAAACAAGTAAAGTACTAATTCATTGAATTAGTAGTTTCAAAAAGAAATCACAGGCATATTTTGGTATTATCCTTTTTAATGTATACATTATTGAATATATTATGTTCTTATACTACTTGTTAACAAAGATGCTTAACTTAGCTTAAATAATTATTCACGGTATATTTAGTAGAATATACGGGATATAGTTTAACTATTCGTTCTACCCTCATGTAGGCAATCGGAAAGTAGTACAGTGTATGAACATATTTCTTGAATTGTATATGATTGTACAGTAAAATCAAATGTGATAGCATCAGTCTGCTTGGACAAATTGTAGTAGAATCAAATGAGAAGGTTCTCCATCATCTCCTTCTTGGAATCTTTGTAGGCTTTGAAGCATTTCTGGGCATGCATTTTTGAGATAAAAAAGAAGGCTAGAATCTGTCTAATTTATTTATAGGTTAGGTGACTTTCTTATAAAGAAAGCCAACTAAGGGCTCTTGGGTTGTATATATGAAATTGAGGTTCCTAAAACCTCAGAGCATTTGGGTGTTCTAAAAGGAATTGCATTCTTAGTATTCAAAGTGTTGTTCTGTGTATGGATTTACAGTCATGCAACAGAATTTTAATGTCCCATAACGATATAGAATTTCTTTTTGTTTTTGTTGCATCTCCTAATTTGATCTGCTTAATGATATCTGACTGTTGTGAGGTTCATTTTCCTAAAATCTTTGTGATACAACATATTTAGTTCTCAGTTTCAAACTGAAACTAGTAAATTGTATGAAGATAATATTGTTGGTGTGTTGCCTAAGCCTCAATTCCAATATGCATTCATTTTTCTGTTCAAGATTGGAATTTGAGTCAGTAATTTAGTTAGCATGACTGTGTATTGTGAGAGGATCACTGTGTGGAGGAGCTGTTGAATTATCTTTCTGCACTGCATAATTGTGTTCAAATAACTTCCACCTGCTATGTCAGCACTTCTCTTACAATTTACATACGTAAGATAATTCAATTCTACCACTGTGCATACTTTTAGAAATGCCCTTATTAAAAATGATGGCATCTCTTCTATCATTTTATGTCTAAGGTGACATTGTCATGAGTGAAAGTATCTGCACAAGGTTATTTGCATTCAGTTGTGTTTGCAAATCTGTGCTATTTTATTGAGGGTTTAAACAGTCAAGCAGTAGTTGTGTTTGAAGGGATATTGTAATTAGTTGTTTCGCTTCTGCCAATTTTTGTTTTGGAAGTATTATTATTTCACACATTCATTATTCTTGCTGGAGGCAATCATCAAGGTGAATGAACTGAAATTTTGGAATTCTGCTTTTTATCTACCCTTCAACCACAATGATCCGGTTTTATTGCAAATTTTATGTCATGATTTGGCATGTATTTAGTTTGTACTTTTTATAGCTGTATAGTTGTGAAGTTGCTGGCGCCTGAATCTGTTCAAAAATTTTATATATTCTGCAGCGTTGAATGTGAGCACTGCACAAGCCTTGTTAAAATAAATGCTACAGCCTTTCAATTTAAATTTGGGGGCGGTAGAACAGGTCATTGGGTTGGAAAATGAGGTTGAATTTATTTGTACTGATATTTTGTTTCCCCTGATCTTATAGTGGACTTTTTATACCTCATATAAATCATTGGTAGCAAATGTTGTATCAATAGCTTTTTGGTTTGCTTTCTTAGTGAAAAATCTGCATAAATATGACTTCATTAATTTCAGTAGAGTTTTGATCATCAATGATGTTTGTGATTACATTTGATTATTCTGATAGATTAGGAGTCAAACATTATTGAGAGTGCTTCTATTAATTAATTGTGCAGCATTCTTCGTCTGATTTCAGTCTATAAGATCATTGTTAGACCTCCCATACACAAGGTCTATAAATCCAAGGGTAGGAATAGGAGTAAGGGTACGTTGAGTGTGAGTTTGTTAAGGGATGTTGAGGTGTGCAATGAGGGTTGTTTAAGCATGGTGAGGTTGTTATGAGAATGGACTGTAGCTGTCAATTAGTTACGGAATAGAAAAGTTAGCTTATAAAAGGGAAAGAGTGAGGGAGGCAGGATATCAAGAATTATATTCATAGGTCTGATTGGAAGGTCCCCAGCTCCTCGAATTGCTGGGAATATGTCTGTTATTTCAATTGTTCCTGTTTATGATCACTCAGTTCCAATTAATGCAATTTGCTATTTCCTCTATTCTGTGCATCTTCTTTGTTGTGTGTTGTGTGTGTTACTGTGATTCACTGATTTGCAGGGGGGTTCCATCAGATTGGTATCAGAGCTAGGTTGCCAACAGGTCTCACGCTGGGGAATGGTCAAATCGAAGATGGATAACAGGATGGACAATATGGAAAAAGAGATGAAGTCAGTGCAGGAGGACATGAGTTCAATTAAGACTGATGTGGGTAGCCTTAAAGAATACTTGACTGAGATGAGATAATTGTTGAGATTGAGAGATGAGAGGGATGAGAAACGTTACCGCGAAAAAGAGAAGTCCCAGTCATCTTCTGAGAATACGAAATCTGGTGATGGCCAAGAGCAAGGACAAGACATAATCGGGAATAGTGGGAAAGAGGAGAGGAAAGCCTGGAAGCTGGAGCTTCCAATTTTCAGTGGAGAAGACCCCTTTGGATGGACCTTTCGTGCAGATTGTTATTTTACTATTAACAAATATGGACCATCGGAGATGGTTGAGGTTGCGGCTGTTTGCATGGAGGGTAGGGCGTTGAACTGGTACCAATGGGTGGAAGGACGAGAACCTTTCAAGTCATGGGAAGAGTTCAAGGCTGCTCTAATCGCGAGATTCCGGCCGTCGTTCCAAGGATCTGCACATGAGGCGTTGGTGGCACTGAAACAAAACTCCACCGTAACTGAATATAGGGAAGACTTTGAAGCCCTTACAGCACTGTTGAAAGATTTGGGTGAAGAGTTGTTAATGGGAGTCTTCATCAATGGGCTTAGGGAAGAAATTAGAGCTAAGTTGAGAGTGCTGAGGCCCAACTCCCTCCAAGAGGTGATTGAGCAAGCCCATCGTGCGGAGGAAAAAAATTGGGTCATGGATAAGTGACGGCCCAAACCCTTTAGAGCCCAGTTAGCCAAAGAAAGTTACACACGGGTATCCAGCAGCCCAGATCCAACCCGGCCTGTGTGGTGGTCCAACACAGCAAAGATACCCAATAATCCAGATCCGACCCGACCCACCTGGTGGCCCAACTCAATAAAACCACCAGAATCCAACCAAGTCGCATCATCTCGCGCACCCGATAGGAGAGAAAGAGCGTCGGAAACTGGAGTCGTGAGCTTTCGAGGGGGATCGGGAGGGAATTTTCTACGGTTGTCTGAAGCCGATATCCAGTACAAATGAGAAAGAGGGCTCTACTTCCGATGTGACAAAAAATTCAGCCCAAATCATCGCTGTCGGAGTAAATCGTTACAGATCTTGTTGGTGTTGGAGGACGATGAAACTGAGAAGGGTGAATCTCCACTGAAAAATGACGAAAATCCTAACCCAAAAGGTGACGACTTAGCTCTGTCCATGAACTCCATCGTGGGTATAACATCAGATCACACCTTGAAGGTAAAAGGGCAAATTGGGGATACTGATGTAGTGGTGTTGGTTGACAATGGAGCATCACATAACTTTATTTCACAAGAGTTGGTTGAGAGGCTGGGTACCGTGGTGGAAAAAGGGAAATGATTTGGGGTGATGGTGGGAAATGGAGTCACGGTGAAACGGGAAAGGGTGTGTCGACAGGTTCCTTTGGATGTGCAAGGGATTCAAATTAGGCAGGATTTCTTTCATTTTGAGTTGGGAGGAGCTGATGTTATATTGGGCATTACGTGGTTGAGTTCCTTAGGGGACGTATGTGCTAATTGGAAGAAGCTGACCATGAGGTTTGAAGTGGATGGGGTTAGAGTCAGTTTACAAAGGGATCCGTCTCTGGTAAAGTCAGTGGTCTCCCTGAAATCAATGTTACGGTCCATCAACAGCACTGGGGGAGGGTTTCTAGTGGAATGTTGTTCAATTGAGGGGAAGCTAATGACCACAGGTGAAGATGTCAGTTCGCAAGTTCAGTCAGTCTTAGATGAGTATCAACACCTTTTTGACCAACCCTCCAAACTTCCTCCACACTGTACCCATGACCATGCCATAAACCTTAAAAAAGGCGCCCAAACCCCTAACATTAGACCCTATAGGTATCTCTATTTTCAGAAAAATGAAATTGAAAAATTGGTGGAAGAAATGTTGGCCGCCTGTATTATCCAACCAAGTACCATTCCGTTTGCTAGCCCAGTGTTGTTAGTCAAGAAAAAGATGGAAGTTGGAGGTTCTGCATTGATTACAGGGCCCTCAACGAAATAACAATTCCCTACAAGTTTCCAATCCCTACCATCGAGGAATTGTTGGATGAATTGGCGGGGGCAACCATCTTCTCTAAGCTAGATCTTCGGTCAGGATACCATCAGATTAGTATCAAAGCCGAAGACATTCCCAAAACAGCCTTCCGAACACATGAGGGGCATTACGCGTTCTTGGTTATGCTGTTCAGTTTGACCAATGCTCCTTCAACATTTCAGTCACTTATGAACAACATTTTTAAACCAATTCTGCGTAAGTTCGTGCAGGTTTTTTTTTACGATATTCTGATATACAGTCTTGACTTGGAATCCCACATTCGACACCTTCGGCAAGCTCTTCAAATTCTGGACGACAATGAACTGGTTGGAAATTTTTAAAAAAATGCTTACTCGAGCAGTTGATGCGTGTTTCCTACAACATGCAAATGTAGCAAGTATACTAGTCGCACAAGTAATAGAGTGATGAGTGAGTATCGTTCCCACGAGAATTATTGCTAAGCACTAAGTTTTCTACCGTTTTCAAGTTGAAGCAATCGAATTCTTTTGGATTAAAGGGAGCAATGAAAACTATAACTAAAACAAAATTCACTAAAATAAAAGTAA